TTTCCTGATGGAGCAGATGAACCCCATGTGAAGCAGAAGCCAATGAGACGGAGATCAGTACGAAAGAAGAAACATCCACTAAAATTAAGAGACTTTGTTGTATTTTAATTTTTCGTTTGTAAATTCTGTACATTTAATTAAGTTATTGTTAATTATCTATTGGTTTAATGTAAGTGGCTATTGTTCGGGAAGAACAATACTAGGGAAGGGGCAGTGTTATGACAGCGAAAGTCATGTGAGGCTGCTGGCGCATTGGCGCTGGTGGCGTGTGCGAGGAGTTTCTCGAATGATCGTGAATTTCCTAGTTTGTTCGGGACGCCCTCTTTTTTAATATATAAGCCCGGTAAATAAAAGTCAAAGATAGATAGATTGAAGAGATAGATAATTGAGTCAAGCGAACAGTAGGCACCGTAAGTAAAGTGTATGGATCACTGTGATTTATAGCGTGTCTTATAAAGGTTGTTAAATTTAAAGTGACTGTGGAAATTCTGTGTATTACAAAAAAGTTGTATCGAGAAAGAATAAACTAGTTTTTAATCAAGATGGTACTTGTATCGCTGAAGTTTCTCGGAAAGAATTTTTACCGGAAATTATCAAACAAGCAGATACGTAACACATAGTTCTGGAGTTGAGACTGATAGAAAACTTGGTTCATGACAACTGAAAAACAGTGATAGACAGTATTAGCTTACATTATACAAAGCAAACTATGTGACTAACTACGGATATAACTAAATTTAAGCAGCATGCATAGTATGCGCAAGGACAAAAAGTTCCTTCTTGATCAATAAAAATGTAAAACAAAAACAATAATAATAAACACACATACACAAAAACAAAGATAAATTATTAATGATTTCACATTAAAACCAAAAACAGAAAATTTTCTATATCAAACATAGATATTTAACATATATATATCTTAAGGTGCCATGTGCGCGGTGCAATTAAAGACTATTTACATTGATATATTCTTTAGACTTGAATTCAAGACACTTCTAACTTCGTCAACTAAATCAACATCGTGGGTAGTAGTTTACTAAAATTGTCAATAATTTCTCTTGACGTTGAAGTGAGTAAAATTAAATATCGTAAGCCTAGTATATAAAACTCCTACCTTCGCCTACCTAGTTTGAAATGGTATCTTCTGTTCGGTGCCGGAGTATTGAGAACCGACTGTACGTTTGGTTGGTAGGGGAACGTTATTATTCTATTGTATGCCTAGCGTGACCTTCTGTTGGTGTTCTGTTTACACACTAACACAAGGAATCCTCAGGTTGCTATGGCCTGAGAGGTATTTGGCTACCTAACTTACTTTCAACTAAAGGTAAGCTTTAAATTTAGATAAATATGTTGTATAACGTTGTTAAGCTCGTTATAATAGAGTACTGTTTACCTTTGGTCCTCTAGTTTTTGAAAAGAAGATCATTTGGTTATTACGCTGTGTTTTGTTTATCATATATTGATGATATAATAAAAATAGTTACTGTGCAAAACGATAATCCTAATGACAATAGGATTTGATGAAAATATTTATTTCTCTTTAATGTCGTAATAAGCATGTTATTACAAAATAGGGTAATTAATGTTATTTCTGGATGAACATATAATGTGAAACGTGAAATGTGATGAGTTATAATAACTTTTGTTGTAAATTTGTTGCAGTAAAGACTTTAAAAGCCTAATCCTAGTGGGTTTTGAATCAAGATCGTAACTTTCGATGCTTTTTGAACACTACCTTCTAATAGTTATGCTTCCTTGAAAGTAAACATAATATATAAATGAATTATTTTTAATACGTTAGATGTATCGGGCATCAATTACGTCATTTCTATTAGAAAAAAAAATTCTACATCCACAAATTTTGCAAAATCATCGTCGATAGTATTGTAGAAACACGATAGACTAGTTATTGAAATCGAACTTTTTCTTGTTACAAATTTAGTCCGATTTACTTTTTATTATTGAGGCAAAATATTCTAATTCAAACAATTCTAAGCATCGTACTATTATATTTAACTAGACGTCAAACTGTACGTTAAAGGTAATAAGCAGTAAAGATAGTTTCAAAAATAAGTACATTTCTTGTTTTATCGAAGAATCGGCCCTGTCTTATTTCAAAATTACGGGGGAACAACGAGACATTTTTCATGAAAGCAGAGGATGAAATTTAAGAATTACATATAAAAATAATAATTTCAGAATTAACTGAGTAAATATAAGCCTTCTTTTAAGTCTCGTTTAGTCAGTGTGTTCGGATTTGGTTTCTTTACATGTGGGTTGCTGTAATTTTAAAGTGTACTGAGGAAATAGGGACAAGATAATATCATTACAGTTAAAAACATTTTTTTTTACTAAAAATATGGATTTGGACACTTTCAATAAGGATAATTGTATTTAGAAGCTTGTTCTTCTCCACAATTTTTTTTTTTGCTATTCTTTATTTCGTTAAATAGGGATTATTGATATTGTTACGTCTCCGTTTGTTAATTGATTACCCGTAAATTCGTTCCGACGAAACTTTAGCGACACAAGTCCTTTCTTAAATAAAACTGGTTTATTCTTTCTGAATATAACTTTACGATACACTTAATTTCAACAATCGCGCTAAAACAAACGCTATAACAACGAACGTTATCTTCAACAATACTCTCTGACTGCAGATCAATTACTCACTACCTACACATTGTTCCCGTCACGTTCTTATATATACCACACTACCCCAATCTAGTAATCTCCCGAAGGTTCGAGAAAGAAGTGGCATGATACTAGCCACGTGACCTCGCTGACGCAACAATATCTTGGATTCATTTGAATTTTTCTGCGTTAAAGTCACGGGGAAGATATTTCATTCTTTTATATACAATCATGACCTTTGGGGAGTAAGGTTTATCGATATTATAATTGACACACTCTTGCTTGAGACTAACATATTGTAAGCAATATTAAACTTTGTTATCGTTGTATAGTCCACTACAGATAAAAATCAATTTAATTCAATGCCTTCCTGAGCAAATCTTTTTAATCATCAGGTTACGAAAAAATGTTTCTAAAGAATACGAAAAACAAACTCATTCATATCATCTTTACGCTGTTAATATATTTTTAGTATTGCTTATTTTATAGGTGTGTTAATGATTTATAAACAATATATGTATAATGGCTCTTGGAAAAATAGCAGTTGGAAAACTATATCACTCTTTCTTCGGGCTATGCTAGGCGAGGCTCAACAATAACGGTATCCGGACTCTAAATCTAAAGGTTTATGGTTCGCGTTCCATTGCGTCAAATGCTCTGCACTTTGGGGCCGTGAGTACACTGTGAAGATTAGGCAACAGTAGTCTAAAAGTTGGCAGTGAATGTAGTTCACTAGCTGCCATCATTCTAGTTTATCACTTCAAAATTTGGGATGGCCATGCTCAGATAGCGCTTGTGTAGCTTTGTAAAAAAATTCTTAAATAATCGGCCTGTGATTTTATAAACTATTTGTGTTGGATTTTCTTTACATATAAACGTATATGGCTTTAAAAACTATTTGTAGGTAAAATAATTAGGACATACAGCTAAGTTAATTATCGCGAATTTTCCGCTCCAACGAGAAACTTACAACATTGTACAGTTTTTCCATTCGTGTTTTGTTCAGAAAAACATGGGCCCGGCATGGCCAGGTGGTTAATGCGCTCGACTTGCAATCTGAGGGCCGCGGGTTCGAATCCCCGTCATACCGAACATGCTCGCTCTTTCAGCCGTGGAGGCGTTATAATGTTACAGTCAATCCCACTATTTGTTGGTAAAGTAGTAGCTCAAGAGTTGGCGGTGGGTGGTGATGACTCGCTGCAGATAGCCCTCGTGTAGCTTTGCGCGAAATTCAAAAACAAAGAAACAGAAAACCTAGTAAATGTATTTAATCTATCAATACTCCACAATACGAGCCTTAGGTAACTTTAAATTTGAATTTGAGTTAAGATAAAACAACTTTTGTAAATAAGACAAGGTACTTTGAGCTTTCTTATATGATGAATTAAACCTCTCTATGGTTTTAAGAAAATATTTTATCGTATAAAACAATAATCCTTTTAAATGTTTAGCTTATACAATAATATAAATACATCTAAATTGTATGATGTATATAAAGATCTAGAACCTTAAGGTCTAAATAATAAGGTAAACGTTCTATTTATTACGTGTTGTCACATATTTATTACTATAGCTTTATACTTGTTTTCAAGTAAAGGTGAACCTAATTCAATGAAATACTATGACTCACCATACGCTTTTCACTAGAACACTTCTTTTACATTATCGCAAAACAATAAGATTATATTACTTTAATAACTGGTTATGCCCAATTGAAGTAAATTAAAGTTCTGCATACAGGTGCAGCTGTTTCAACTAATCTACTCCTTTTACTGGGCTCATGGGGAAGTTGAATGTATTAATGTGTGCATGAATAAAAATGATCATTTCCTCTTGTAAAACCTTGAAGGACAAATACTAGTGGTAAAATACTCTGTTCAGGCTGCTGGCGTTTCTTAAAAAGCAAAGGCACTATTTTTTATTAAATAAATAGATTGGTGAAATTTTGCACCTTCATATGTAAAGCTCGTAATTATAATTGTTATCAAAGGCGTGATTTTCTACAAGTCTAACTGGTTATTATTGCCTAATGTCTCATTATATCCAAAGTTTCGTATATTACACAACACGTCGGAGGGTGGTGGCTCCGTATATGTTAGGCTTTAATAACTTGAAAGCGTTTTATACTTTTTTGATCCCCCCGATGGGCTAGCGGTAAGCTTACAGACTTACAAAATAAAAATCCGGGGGTTTAATTTCACGAGGTGAACAGAGCGCATATTGCCCATTGGGTAGCTTTGCGCTAAAACAATCAAACCACCATTCTCGCACCAGTGATCGAAACATCTTACCTGTTCTAAATACAAATCTTACTTACTGTAAAATGTAATTTGTAATAAGATATCGTTTAAAATAGTGTTGAATAAAATTGTAATACTTCAGTATGGTGATATTGTTTTGATATGTCCTTTGCTGTTTAGAGTTGGAAGTTCTTTAATTTCAGTAAATCGGGCAGATACTATTATAACTTATAAGATAAAAGTTATTGTATGGACATGTGAGGGTCAATCATTTGTAAAACTTATATAACAGATTCTCACTATAACTAAATTACATTTGAATTCACATAGCATAATGGAAGTATTTTCGAATAGTGTCAAAAAATAAATACTTGATAATATAAGAAAAAGTAGATCATATTATTTTCTATTTATGATTTTTGCGCAAAGCTACACAAGGGCTATCCATGCATAGTAATATTCAATTTTGAAACGAAAGGCTAATGATCCACAGCCCACACTGCTAACTCGTTGGATCATCTTGTCTTACCGAATAGTAGGATTTGACCGCCACTCTTATCACATACCCACAGTCCCAAAATGAATAGCGCGTTTTTGTGGCAACAGGCTGCGAACCATGAATCTTGTAGTTTACATTACAAACGCATTAACCATTAGGTCACGCCCAGCCAGTAGTAACAGTGACTAGTTCTGAGGTATGAAACATTAAAAAACAAGTTTTAGCCTCTTATATGCTCACATTCGCAGACTTAGTAACACGTATAACTTGTGAACGTCTATTTTAAGAAAATTCGATTCTCTCCTTTCTTTGTTAGATTGTCCTTTTCTGTAGTTATTGAAAACAGTGATCAGTATTCAAAGTTAACTGGATTTACAAGCCATTTCAGATTTAAGAATAACTACGCACTATAAACTGAGTAATTCCTCATTAATATACAATATTTGAGTAGTATTGAAATTTGACTATTAGTCTACTTTATTTATTTGTTTAGCCATTTCAGGTTCAAGTGCACACTTTAAACTAAGTAACTGTTCACTAACATGTAATATTTGAGTAACATTGACATTTCAGTAGTAGTCTACTTTACTCAATCGCGTCTCTCGATGGGACAGCGGTAAAGTTTACGGACTTACAACGCTAAAATCCGGAGCTCGATTTCCCGCGGTGGACACAGCAGATAATCTAATGTGGATTTGCTCTGAAACAAGCAAACAATTACTGAATCATTTGTTTATAAACAGCTATTTTATGGTACCAGAGAAATCAAAAAGAGTATTTGAGATATAAATGTGGCCATCACCGTTTCAAAATAACAACAAAACAAAACTGACATTCGGTTTTCAGTATACAGTTTAAATGTTATCGTAACGAGAAGTTGACAAAAGGTATTCAGCTAAAAAAGACTTATTCTTACATATACATGTTACATTTCTAAGAAAGGTACATAAT